CTTCACCTCTGCTCGATGAGCATGGTGACTCCACTATAATGTGGAGCGCTTTGTGGCGCGAGCGTAGACGCCAGAGTCGTACCAATACTTTGTGAAGTGGAGAGGTTACCCGCACTCACAGAACCCATAAAGAATTGAGGTTATCTCCGGCAAGGTTTCCTGACGCATGAGCGCTTACGACCGGGACTTTTGTGCCGAAGCGCCACCCTGGCGTGCACAGCGTCGTCAGGCGCTGGGCGCCTCCCACTAGATTGGGGAGCGAACAGGTCAGTAGTTGAGCTCAGGATCTGACCAGTGGCTGCCGCAGCCAGCTCGTACGTATAAGCGGTGCTCGCAGCGAGAGTAGGAGCTATAGAGACCTCGTGCTGTAGGGACGTGGTCCCGAAGGAAGCAGGTGTTTGGTGTTGTGCTGAACAAGGTCAGGCACAAGCGTCTCGATAGACCCATAGCTGGCTTGAAACACCTTGCTCGATGAGCACGATCCAAACGTGGATGCGCTGTAGTAGCGAAAGTGGTGTCCCAGACGGGTATCGAACCACTGGCCTATGGCTTTCCAAGCCGGAGCTCTACCATTGAGCTATAAGGGCGATGTCCGTACGTCTGTTCGAGAACGGACTACTCATGGTCTGAGAGGGCTGTGCCCTGGTGGGACCGACCTATGGCTCTCAAAGCCAACGCTCAGCTGGGGACAGTAGTATGACCGGTATTGATCCGATACATTAACCCCATTCACACAGTGGCTGTATCAATCAATAACGTTTGGGATAGAGAGCTGTTTGCGTGGCTCACTATCAAACACCCTGCACACTGTAGCTACATTCGTTAAATTCTCACCGTTTCATACGACAAACCACTCACTTCCGACAGCTCCGTGAATTATTGTAAGCATTTGAAAAGGTTCGGTATCCATCTGATACACCACCAAAGCGCCCTTTACACGGGGTGCATCACCATGGTCAGGTTAAGCACGGAATTATCGCAGTAGAGTAGGTACACACGAGAAAATCGCGTTCAAAAAGGCGCTCTGCCCCGTAGCGGCAGTGCGGGTATGCAGTTTCAGTTAGAGCTACACAAGGAATTCCGGCTTCCTTAACGTTACCATTGATGCGTTCAATGAGATGACACCTCGAGACGGTATCGAAGCGCTAGGGTTGTGTGACAATGCGCTTGCGGTAACCTCTTGCATTGATATTGAAGTTCACAGCAAATGCGTTCCAAGATTGACAAAGTGTCACACTTTGTGTTTGCGCGAAGTCTTCTAAGACGCATTCCATCGGAGCTCGTGGAAGGGTCCGATATTTTATTCGTGCCTTTGATTCGTTAACGTATCAAAGTGCTTGTCGATGGCCTCAGCGTCATCATTGATGGCGCTGTATCGAACAGCTCTACCGGGACTGGCGGCGAAGTCTCGCCGAATCTGGCAGTGATTTCAGATGCATTGGCAGCGTACGCCCGGTACAGTACGCGGAGAAGAAGACGTACCAACACAGGTGGCTGCGTCTTTTCTTCATTGCGCGGACGCTTCGATCCTGGGGCGTCCGAAATATCGTCACAGACTCGCCGCGACTCAACAAGGGGATCAGGGGTTGATTCGGTCGACCTAGAATCGACAGCTGAAGATGAGTTGTTCTCGTCTTCAGTGTCAGACCCATAGTCAATGGGTATGTCTCCGTCAGTAGACATAACTGACAAGCCCTCCGTGACAACTGACGGTCTGTAAGTCGTAGCTTGCGCGCACTCTGCTTATGCAGAGCGTGGTTTTGAGTGACAGAAAAAAAATGTCGTGGGCGTGTCCGTTTGCGCGGACACTGAAGTGGTGGTGCCTGATTCTTATGCTTAACGTGGGGGGGGGTAACAAAGTTACACACAAGCGGCTACATGAAGCCACTTGGTTACGAAGGAGGTTTTCCACATTGGTGTGAGATACACCGATAGTTACATTCGGTAGACTATTGGTATGCATGCATTTGGGGTACTCATTGGTTGAAAGCCAATACCTT